CCTCTGCGCCGCGTACGCCTCCGCGTACGCCGCAACCGACTCGTTCCACGAAACCGGGGGAACGCCCACGGACGCTCGCGCCCGGTTGTGCCCGTCAACGAACTGATTGATGACAGCGGACTTCTGTGAACCGATGGCCGATTTCGGTGACCCGGTGCGCCTCGGGGGTTTCGCCACGAAATATCCGGCGCCTTGGGGTGTCGGGGTTTCGGCCACATTATTACCATTGAGAAGAGTTTGGGATGCCGTTTCTCTAATGGTAATGGCTAAAGCTGTGATGATGATGGAGATGGGAACTATGAAGTGATGATTAGAAAACTCCATTTGGATCGATCTGATCTCTTGAGAGTGATGATTAGATGAATGTGATAGTGGAAATGCTGCTTCAGTTTGATGTGAGTAATGGAGCAAATGTATATATATCCAATTATCAATTGAAACGGTAAAAGTTGTTGCCTATATTCATTCATTTATTCAAATATATCACCCACTTTGTCGGGTGGTTTCTAATTAATACTCCGTAGCTATGTAGTACCGATACCGGTACGCGGAAACGCGGAAACGCGGAAACGGGTACGGGGATACGTTAAAACCAAAAAAAGTTGGATACGGATAAGGGGCCATATTTATAAATATTAAAAGTTACGGGGGCGTATTTACAAATATTAAAAGTTATAGGGGTCTATTTATAAATATTAAAAATAGATATTTTTTTGAATATATATATATATATATATCTACATATAATATCCTATGATGTCTACCCATTCATTGCATTGAAACATTTTTCTTTTTCAAGATACTTAGTAATAAATTCATAATATTTCTCATATACACTAGTGTATCTCGAAATATAAATGTAGTCAATAAGTCATTAATTTAAAATGAGAAATAAGTCAAACAACTGCAATCTTGAAATTAAAAGTGCAAGTACCCACTTCGGAGTATGAGTTAATGACTTAATTCGGATATAGCCATATAGGCCCATTATTTGATTACCAAGTAAAAGGTAGTTTTAGATTTTCATGTTTTTTAGAATTTTATTAAGTAAATTTTGGGATTTTTTTTAAAAAAAAGTTGATACGGGTATCCGTCAGGATACGAGTATCGGAAACTTTCAAAAAATTACAAAAAAAAATGGAAACTTTTAAAAATTGCAGATACGGCCCGGGAACGTACGGTACAGGTATCCTAGAGTATCGGATACGGGAACGTATCCGATACGCCGATACGCTATCCTAGGGAAGTATCCGTGCTTCATAGCTCCATAGATAAGATCGCTTGGTTCTTTTCTTTCATTACTGTTTGGAAAATTTTATGGTGCCTACGTACAAACTCCACATGACATTAGAGGATTGAATAAGAGTTCCATGTCATTCATGTAGAACTAGTAAGTAACAATATTGCAATTTAATCCCTAGAGTATATACACGAACACAATTAATACGGAGTAACAATAACAAAAAACTTAAAGAGATTTTTTTTTTAACTCCAACAGACCGATATATTAATTTACCAAATCATGCGCCAGAAAGCTTACAATAGTGTCAGGGATAACATCATAACAACATGACTGATCTGAGATAGCCACATGTGCTCTAGCTAACGCATGAGCAACACGATTCGCAGATCGCATACAAAAAGAGATAGTAACATTACTCTTATCTTTCAATAAATTTCTAATATCTTCAATAATAAGGAAAAGGTAAGAAGTTCCTCCCCCATTGTTGAGCCCTTGGACCACAGAGAGAGCATCAGTCTCGATCTCCACATGAGACCATCCTGCTTCAGCCGCCCCCATCACTGCCTCACGAATGCCCACCGCCTCTGTCTCCACCACCGACCAACTAGCTAGCTCTGAGGCCCCTTTTGCCCTTACAAAATTACCGTGGTGATCACGTGCAACCCACCCCCAGGCACGGATATTCCTATCCTCATCCACCGCTCCATCCACATTTATCTTGATATAACCAGCCCGTGGACGTTTCCAAACAGCCCCTGAGCTAGCGACTTTCCTCGCCTGCCCTGCTACTCCAGTCCCTTGAGCATCTCTCCAGCTCGAGATAATTCCCGCCGCCGCATTTATAACCCCCGCAGCTCCTTGCCATCTATCCTTCCATACACAGCCATTCCTCCTCTTCCATAAGCTCCACAAGATAGCAACAAATCTGCAACGATTCTCTCCATTCGGCCCACCTAAATGATGCCAGATCCAGTTGTTCACAGAGTCCGTCGGATTGCCCAAGTCAACTCCTACCTGCCTCCAAACCTCCTTTGCATGGTCACACAGTCGAAAGACATGCTCTGTTGATTCATTGTTATCTCTGCATCCTTTACACCCTTCAAGAACCTGCACTCCTTTTTGCCTGAGATTTTCAACCGTAGGGAGAGAACCATCAATAACCTGCCAAGCAAAAAATTTGAGCTTCGGCGGGACATGCAAATCCCATAACCAAGCCCAATCAGACCCATCCCTAGCCTGCAAGTCTCCTGTAAGTAAACGGTAACAGCTCTTAACAGAAAAAATATTGTTGTTCTCCCCATTCCACCAATGCCCATCCTTCCTATCGTATGAGCTAATAGGAATGCTGAAGATCTTCCGCTTATCCTCTGCATTAAAAATATTATTAATCCTTTCTCTGTTCCACTTTTTCCCTGTAAAGTCCCGCAGGGCAGCCACGTTCATATCTCTAACTCCTGGCGGTCTGGTAGATGTAACCTGACCCGACCCCTCTCCAGGGAGCCACGCATCGGACCACACCTGAACATCTACCCCATTTCCAACTCTCCTTCGGATATTATTTCTGAGAATATTTTGTGCCTCAAAAATACTACGCCAAATGAACGAAGGATTATTTCCAACATGAGCATGTAAGAAATCCGAGTTTGGAAAATACTTGGCCTTCAGCACTCTACTCATCAAGCTAGCCGGCTCTGTCACAAGCTTCCACCCCTGTTTAGCTAACATAGCCAGATTAAATTCCCTTATTCTCCGGAATCCCAGACCCCCCAAATTTTTTGGCTTACAAAGGGCCTCCCAACTTCTCCACCTCAACCCCTTCTGCTCAAATTTAGCGCCTATCCACCAAAAACCATTCATCAATTTCTCAATCTCATCACATAACTTATTCGGCAGCAAAAAAACATTCATAGCATAATTAGGCATAGCCTGAATCACATTTTTTAACAGAACCGCTCTACCTGCCCTGGATAAAAATCTATTATTCCAGTTCTTTATTCTGTTAAAACTTTTGTCTTTTAAATAGCCTAAAATAGCTGATTTGTTCTTACCCACAAGCGTTGGTAGACCCAGATATCTACTCTGACCCCCTACCATCGGGATCCCAAAAATACTGCAACAGGCTCCTCTGAATTGTTCCCCAACATTCTGGCTGAAAGATAACGAAGACTTCCCATAGTTCACAATTTGCCCTGAATTCTCCTCATAAACAGATAAAATATCTTTGACAATCCCTGCCTCTGTGCTAGTGGCTCTGAAAAAAGAAAGTTGTCATCCGCAAATAAAAGGTGTGAGACCCGTGGTGCCCCCCTACAGACCGTGTAGCACCGTCCCCAGATGTATTTACTTTTAAGTGAATATTGAATTTTAACCTTATGGGATAGTTGACGAATTTACGATGTTATGAATTTTTATAAATTATTTTGCGTAAATAGTAAATTCGCACGTGGGGCCCGCACCGGGAGCGGGGGCCGCCCGATATTCCCGAGGCCGTATATTTTATTCAACTTGGTCGAAATAATATTTATATAGAGGTGGAATATTTATTTAGTCCAAAGGAATGACATAATGTGGACCGATTGGTCAAAAACGGCTCAATTACCGATATTGGTAATTTAACAGATAAAAGCCAGGAATGAATTTCGGGAACTTATAAATTAAATTAGGGGGATGTATATTCATTATAAGGTTCAAAATGATTGGGAACACATAATATATTTTATTTGACCCGATAAAATAAAATATATCTAAAACAGTCCGAAAAATACAACTTTCGGGACCGATTGTACACTTTGGGACACAAAGGGATGACCTCCCACATGGGTGGGGGCCATCCCACGTTTTTATGCTCATAGTTGACAAATTGAGGGCTGAATTATGGGAGTGTGTGATATGGAATGGATGAGAGTGGAGGGTGGGTGTGAGTATGACTTGACGTGGACCTCACCTCCCTCACTCATTGGCCATTTGAGACAAAACCAAGTCTCACAACCCATCCCCCTATCATACTCGACCAAGACCCAAAGGAAAGAGGAGAGAAAGCTCTACAACTCCATTCCCCATAGCCAAATTCGAGCTCAAGCTTGAGGAGTCCAAAAAGGGGGTTTTAGAAAGGAAAAAGTTGGGAGAAAGTGAGAAAGAGTAAGGTAATGACCCTATACTAACTTTTCCTTTATTTTTCTTCTACCATATGAGATATATGTCATATGAAGAACCCCTATGATTGTTCTACATGTTATGAGTGTGGAATGATGGGTTGGAAGGTGGTTCTATGTCCAAGAACGGATTTAGAAGTCAAAACGACCGGTTCACCGGAAAATAACCTTTTAGGGGTTATTTGTATTGATTAAGGTTTTATGATGTTAAAACCTTGTTAGGAACTTGATTAAAGTATTTTTGAGATTCGCCGGAGTTTCGCCGGAGTTGGTCAAAGTTCACCGGAGTTGGTCAAAGTTCCCTGGCGCAACCGATACTGGTGGTGTCCCGCCACACCACCTGCGTGTAATGCCCGCACTCCTCCCCGCCGGTGCAAGAATTCGACGCGTGGTCGTAGTACGGCCGCTCCCCCACCCACATGTTCACGGCGTCCGACGCCTTCAGCTCGTCGTACCCCTCCGCGATGTTCTCCCCGTACGGCCCCTCCGAGTGCTCCATCTCGCAGTCGCCTGCCCTCTGCGCGGCGTACGCCTCCGCGTATGCCGCAACCGACTCGTTCCACGAAACCGGGGGAACGCCCACGGACGCTCGTGCCCGGTTGTGCCCGTCAACGAACTGATTGATGACAGCGGACTTCTGTGAACCGATGGCCGATTTCGGTGACCCGGCGCGCCTCGGGGGTTTCGCCACGAAATATCCGGCGCCTTGGGGTGTCGGGGTTTCGGCCACATTATTACCATTGAGAAGAGTTTGGGATGCCGTTTCTCTAATGGTAATGGCTAAAGCTGTGATGATGATGGAGATGGGAACTATGAAGTGATGATTAGAAAACTCCATTTGGATCGATCTGATCTCTTGAGAGTGATGATTAGATGAATGTGATAGTGGAAATGCTGCTTCAGTTTGATGTGAGTAATGGAGCAAATGTATATATATATATATATATATATATATATATATATATATATATATATAGAGAGAGAGAGAGAGAGAGAGAGAGGGGTAGCAGCCTGAAGTAGAGGAGCGATGGAGCTGAGTGCGGCGTGGACTTGATCGCAGCCTCCCGATTCGCTTGGCATTTATATATATCCAATTATCAATTGAAACGGTTAAAGTTGTTGCCTATATTCATTCATTTATTCAAATATATCACCCACTTTGTCATCGGGTGGTTTCTAATACTCGGAAGATCGCTTGGCTCTTTTGTTTCATTATTGTTTGGAAAATTTTATGGTGCCTACGTAAAACTGTATGTACCCGTACAAACTCCACATGGCATTAGAGGATTGAATAAGAGTTCCATGTCATTCATGTAGAACTACTAAGTAACAATATTGCAATTTAATCCCTAGAGTATATACACGCACACAATTAATAACAAAAACAAAAAACTTGAAGAGATTAAAAATGATTTCACTCTGCTTTTTCTTGAAAAATCAGTTAAAAAGAGATTAAAGGAGACCTGAGAAGAGAAAAAGAAAAAAGTTGAAGAACGCATCTTCTTTTGATGGATCCACAGATGCAAAGTAAATAAACCCTATCGATCGCCAAGTTTGTCATTTTCCTCTTATCTATAAGGTCTCTAATTAAGAAGAAAGTATGAAACCTTCAATATTTTCTGACAATGAAAAAGTGACGAATCATTTTGGAATTGAAGGCACAAAAACCATAGCGGAAGCTCAAATATTAAGTCAATTATTTTTCACATGAAAAAGCATCGGGAGAAGACGGAGCAGGTCGAGTTTTTGGATGATGAAGTTTTGGGTGGGATTGTGGATTCAATTTAGGAATTAGAGCTTTTTATTTGATTTGCGTATTATTTTGGCCGATTGGCCGGCAGAGGTATGAAATTAGAAATGAATTTTTCCTCCCTGGTTTTAATGCCCTGAAATAGAGTAAATGGTCAGTTTGGTCCCCGAAGTTGCATAAAAGAAGTCAAATACGGAGTAAGTCCTTATATAGGAGGTTCTATCTGGCCGTCGTCATTTGGGGCGGTTCCCGATAGATTTTTTTGATGAAATTTTTTGAGCATCTTATTCATTAAGTCTATTAGCTATTTTGTTCATCTAAATTTTTTATATTTCAACCAATTCAGTTAGAACTTAGTCAATTTAGTAGAATCAACCAATTCAGCCAATTTCAGTGTTACCAAACGCGCTCTAAATGTGTTAGATCATGGCATCATGCCATAGAGAACACTATTCCAGTTTTCAAGTGGGCATCCAAGAAGGGTCACAACATATTATGCTTCTGAAAAATAAATAAATGGCATGCATTACGATATTTAATAGCAATATTTAAGTCAACTAATAAATTCCAAACTTTACTTTGAGATTGGAGGTGTGATTGAATTGCTTTAATGATTCCTGATGTTGAAGTTGAGTTAGGCTATATTTGCTATTACTTAATTTAAGCACTTTTGAGTTTTTGAAATTGGAGAAGCTAAAAGTGATGTTTGCAAATGAAAAATTGTGCTTAATTTAAGCAGTTTGTAGCCAAAAGTTAGAAGCTAAGGATGATGTGCTTTTATCTACTTCTTGGTTTTTTAGTAAATAAGTCCAACTTTTAGGGTCATTCTAATCTTAAAAATAATTATTAACCCAAAAGTACCCCTCTCGTCCACAACACCCATCGTTCCCCAAAGCTTTTGTCCAGAATCTGCCGCAACATCCTTCCGGCTTCGGCAAGGGAATTCGATGGCTTCAGAGCCAAATGAAATTCTGAATAATCCAAGAACATAATTAAAGTTCATCCAAATATGAATTTACATAATAAATGAAACACAAAACCATGAAAGTAAAGGTTGAAGATGATAATATATACATCGTATTAAATATGGATCCAAATCGTGCATAGTCCCTTGCCTTTTTTTGTTTTGTATTCTTAGGCCTGGGACCGGTTCGGTTCTTACTCAAAATTAGTGGAACCGTTATACAAATTTTAACTAATGAAATCGGTTCGGTTGCTACGTAAAAAACAAGAACTGTTATGGAACCGAACCATTACTAAACGGTTCGGTTCTTACATTTATCGGTTTCTCGAATAACATTTTTCTCATCTAATAATTAACACACAGTTTTCTTTCTACCACAAAAAAGAAAAAGAAAAAAGAAAAAAAACACAAGTATTAAATTTTTATTTGAAGAGCTAAACTTCAAACATCAACGCTTAAACTTAACTAAGTGAACACTTAACAGAATAAAAGAAGATTTAATTTTCATTTAATAAGTACGTAAAACATAAAAATTGTTGTTATGTGTGTGGTAGCATTGAAAGTTGTTCATCATCATATTAGAAAGAAAGGACATCCACTTCAAAACTTGAAAAATACATTGAGTTCACATATTTTTATATAAAAACATCATTACATTCTACTTGCTTGTTGTATATTTACAAAAATGTAGTAGTTACAAATATCATGAAGATGAAAAAGTAAGATATATAAAATCAACTACAAGTTACTTGAGTTATTTTATGTTGATAAAGTTTATGTGATGGAACAAAACGTGTTTTGTCAAAATGAGCTTAACGTATTCAATCTCATGTGCAATATTGATTACTTTTGTTGGTGATGGTTAAATTAGAATTGTTGACTATATATCATCGGTTGTACTATTATTAATTGTTATTTTTGGTGATGGTTATTATTGTTATTGTTGATATTATTATTTTTGTTGTTGTTGTTGTTGTTGTTGTTACTATTACTACTGATATTTTTATTTTTATTTTTATTTTTAATATAACAGGCCCTTAACACGGTTCCGCGCACATATTTTTTTAGAGGAACCGAACCGTTAGTAACAACTAGGAAACGAACCGTTAGTAACAACTAGGAACCGAACCGTTAACAACTAATACCATATTTGTAAAAACCGAACCGAACCGGGTTTTAACAGTTCGGTTCCAACCGATTTAGTGGTTCCCGGTTCCAAAATCCCACCCCATGTATTCTTGCTTTTGTTGTTGCTCTTGCTTGGGTTGGGTGTGGGTTTTATCTTTTTTTCCGATCTGATTTTTCTTTCCATTTTTGGCTGCTTTCTAACTCCATGGGCATGGTGAGGAGCTTCACAATCGGAAATTAGGGCGTAGAGAAAGGAGGGTGGGTTGGGTTGCTCTTGATCTGCTATCTCTTTTAAATTCTAGAAGGTTGCTTTGGTAATTTAACAAAATATTATATCACAAATCATTTTTTATCAAACACTTCAACTTTTACCTTCTAATTAAAATCACTTCTATTTACAAACACTATCAACTTTTACAACAAATCACTTTTTCAATAATCTATTAAAAAATCACTTTTAAAAAGCACATACAATCGCAAACACTCTCTTAGTCTGGTATTGAGATCCTCTACCTTATGGCAGGGTACCTTACTTAAATGAAGTGCATGGATTAAAATCTAGGCATCGAGATTTGTGTCAAAAATGGACCCACTGATCTTCACTACTACAAAAGAGGGTTTTCACGTCGGTTATTTATACCCTTTCACGTCGGTTTTTAAACTGACGAGGAAAGTCGCGACGTTATAGGTAATATGATATTACGTCGGTTACTAAACCGACGTAATAGTTAAGTTCTCATGTCGGTTATTTTGTAAAACCGACGTAAAAAGTAATCGTTTTTTCATAATAACTAAGACCTACCACGTCAGTTTTTTTCAAAAACCGACGTAAAAAGCTTTATTTAAAAATAAAAAAAAATACATATAACGTCAGTTTCTTTAAAAAACCGACGTTATATATACTTTAAAAAAAAATCAGTAAAATACATTTACATAGCCCACGAGACAATTCAAGTTTCTTAATTTGCAAGGCCATGTTATTAGACAACATTTCAGGTGAATGATATTCCTAAGAATTAGCCTCCCGATTCGCTTGGCATTTATATATATCCAATTATCAATTGAAACGGTTAAAGTTGTTGCCTATATTCATTCATTTATTCAAATATATCACCCACTTTGTCATCGGGTGGTTTCTAATACTCGGAAGATCGCTTGGCTCTTTTGTTTCATTATTGTTTGGAAAATTTTATGGTGCCTACGTAAAACTGTATGTACCCGTACAAACTCCACATGGCATTAGAGGATTGAATAAGAGTTCCATGTCATTCATGTAGAACTACTAAGTAACAATATTGCAATTTAATCCCTAGAGTATATACACGCACACAATTAATAACAAAAACAAAAAACTTGAAGAGATTAAAAATGATTTCACTCTGCTTTTTCTTGAAAAATCAGTTAAAAAGAGATTAAAGGAGACCTGAGAAGAGAAAAAGAAAAAAGTTGAAGAACGCATCTTCTTTTGATGGATCCACAGATGCAAAGTAAATAAACCCTATCGATCGCCAAGTTTGTCATTTTCCTCTTATCTATAAGGTCTCTAATTAAGAAGAAAGTATGAAACCTTCAATATTTTCTGACAATGAAAAAGTGACGAATCATTTTGGAATTGAAGGCACAAAAACCATAGCGGAAGCTCAAATATTAAGTCAATTATTTTTCACATGAAAAAGCATCGGGAGAAGACGGAGCAGGTCGAGTTTTTGGATGATGAAGTTTTGGGTGGGATTGTGGATTCAATTTAGGAATTAGAGCTTTTTATTTGATTTGCGTATTATTTTGGCCGATTGGCCGGCAGAGGTATGAAATTAGAAATGAATTTTTCCTCCCTGGTTTTAATGCCCTGAAATAGAGTAAATGGTCAGTTTGGTCCCCGAAGTTGCATAAAAGAAGTCAAATACGGAGTAAGTCCTTATATAGGAGGTTCTATCTGGCCGTCGTCATTTGGGGCGGTTCCCGATAGATTTTAAAATTGACAAAACTATCATTGTTTGGTATTTTGTACTCCCTCCGTCCCGAAAACAACTTCCCGGTTGGACTTTCACACACTTTTAGGAAATAAATTTGATT